TGAACAATCTCAATCTCTTCACCATCCATCCTAGTGTGTAATAAATAGGGCTATTAGCTAAATGGTTAGTGGTTCAAATTTACCAGTGGCTCTGAGGCTGAGCACTTCCCTCCTGTAAGGATTTACAACATTGGAGGGTTGGCATGAAGTGGACTATGAAGAGGGTTGATAAACTGTGGTGAATTTGGGAACAAGCCCATGGAACAAAATGAATTAGCTCCTTGCATTAAGATTTACAGCGTTGGGTACGTGATGGAAGGCCATCATGAGCCAGAAGCCACTTGATGACGGTGGCTTTGGTTTGTTTTTGTTGACTGTGACAACTACTTATGCTGACTTGGGGTGTTTGTTGGCAGAGTTTACCAGCCTATGACAGCCCTGAGGTGTTCGGGCTGCACCCCAACGCAGACATCACTTACCAGAGCAAGCTGGCCAAGGACGTGCTGGACACGATTCTCGCCATCCAGCCCAAGGACAGCTCAAGTGGCGGAGACGAGAGCCGGGAGGCTGTGGTGGCCCGGCTGGCTGATGACATGCTGGAGAAGCTGCCCCCGGACTACAGCCCCTTTGAAGTGAGATCATGAGATTCTGATAAGATGTCAGATGAGGGATGGGGTGTGTGTGTGTGTGTGTGTGTGTGTGTGTGTGTGTGTGTGTTTGATTGGGGAAGCCAGAAAGTAAGATGCAGGATAGGAAACACATTTTTCTGATTTAAGAATTAAAAAAAAACACCCTTAATTTTGAAAAACCAGAAAACTGTTTTTCAATCCATGAATGTAATGGTTTAAAAAATATAAATAAATTGGATAAGAATGCTAGTATATATTGTTAGAAGTAGGCATTAATGGGTAAGCATTGCTTTGTCTAGAATTCCCCAAGGCATTCATAAGGGATTTGTTTGCTTGATTTAAGGAAAATAATACTTTCTTAGGTGAAAGCACCAGATTATTCAAACAAACAAATACGTTGCATAGTTTAATGCTTAGCTTAAAATCTCAGCCTTCTCAAACCCAAGGAATTGACATTTGCATTATTAATTCTTTGCATCTTCCTTCACTAACGCGGGTAATTTGTTTTTCAATCTGAAAGTACCTTCTAAGTAGAATTTAATGATTGTGAGTTATTTTCAGGCATTTTAAAAAAGTATTTACTTTTGCGGTATGTTTTAAAAATATCTACGATAATGTGAAAATTAAGTGCTTATTTCCTATGTTGTTAGCAGATGACTTGGAATGATCCCATGGCACTTTTATCAGTCACTAGTTTGACTGTGTATTACCCCCGTTAACACCTGATTTTCAGAAGGTCATTGGCAGCCTTTCGGCCTTTAGATTATTACTGTTTCTGCTATGCAAGCTATTTGGCAACAAGTACTACAGCGTGACTCAAGGACTTACCCAGAGACCTAGTCTCGGGAAAAGATATTTCTAGGAGGTCCCATGATCACTTGATTAGGAAAAATAACTTTTACTATTGGTGTTCATAAGGTGTCCCAATGCCACATTAAGATCTGCCACAATGCCATATTAAGAACTCCACTGCCAATTGGAAGGTTAGTGGTTCAAACCTATTAGTCACTCCAAGGCAGAAAAAAGCGGGAGATCTGCTTCGTGATGATAGATGGCAGTTCTGCTCTGTCCTGAGCTGTGGTGTTGGAATAGGGCACCGAATATCCCATGGGTACCTTGGACTACTAAAAAAAAAAACCCTGATATGTCTTAGAAAAAAGTGCAGCCAGAGTGATCTTTGGAGGTAAAATGACCAAGCTGCTCTCCAATCTTTGGACATATACTTAGGAGAGGCTGCTCCTTGGACAAAAACAAAATGTTTGGAAAGATAGAGGGTGAGCAAAGGAGAAGAAGATCCTTGTGAGACAGATTGACCTGATGACATCAGCAATGAACTCTAGTGTGTTAGATCATGAGGATGGCACAGGATAGAGCAAGGTTCAGGCTGGCTGTTATAGGGTTACTATGAGTTATGCTTGATTTGACAGGCCCTAACAACAACTACTACTACTGCCACTCTGTCCTGTAAATTAAGCCTACTGCTATCAATTTGATTCTGACTTATAGAGTCCCTTCAAAGGGTTTCTAAGCCCCTGGTGATGTAGTGTGTAAAGTGCTGGGATGCTAACTTAAAGATATGTAGTTGAAAATCCATCAGTCACTTCCTGAGAGAAAGATGGGTGGTCCCTTCCCGTAAAAATGTGCAGCCTTGGAAACTAGATGGAGAGTTGGAATCGTCTCCAGAACAGTAGGTTTTCTGATTTCTTTGTCCTACAAACAGTGTGACTGTGAATAGAAATTGGCTTGGTGACATATAGTAACAACATTTGCTTTCATCAGAATCATTTAATATAACATCAGAAAAGAAAAGAAAAAAAAAAGATCATTCATCCCTAAGAGTGACTGAAAGATTTCTAATGTAGTACAAATACCCAGGGAGCTCTGGTGGCCTAGTGGCAAGAAGCTGTGCTGCCAACACAAAGACATGAGGTTTGAATACCCCTGAAATTCGACAGGAGAAAGATGGCCAATCTCCTCCCATGCAGTTAACAGCCTCTGAAAATTAGCTGGAGGATCAGCTATGTGTCGGTTCTAACTCAATGGAATGTAACTGAGTAATTTAGAAATATCTGAAAAGATAATAATTGTTGTTGTTGTTATGTGCCGTCAAGTCGCTTGTGACTCATAGCGACCCTTTGTACAACAGCCCTAAACTCCGCTCTGTCCTGTGCCAATTGCACTGTCTCTGACACTCCCATCCTAATTATTCCAGTCACTGAATCAATCCACCTCATAGAGGGCCTTCCTCTCCTGCGCTGTCCCTCCACCCTCCCAAGCATGATGTCCTTCTCCAAGGACCTGTCTCTCCTCACAACATGTCCAAAGTATGTCAGACGAAGCCCCAGAATCCTTGCCTCCAAGGAGCCACCCGGTTTGACCCTTTCCAGGATGAATCTGTTTGTTTTCTTAGCAGTCCATGGTACCCTCAATACTCTTCTCCAGCACCACAACTCAAAGGCATCAATTCTCATAAATAAAAGTGGTCAGTAATGGGTTTTAAAACAAGCTGCATCTTCTTGCCAAATTTGTCGGTGCTATGACTCCCTTTATGGGGGAGTGTGGTGGCCCAGGGGTAAGGAGCTGCGCTGCCAACCTGAAGGCACACAGTTTGAATCCACAAATGCTCCACAGGAAAATGATGGGCCATCTCCTCCTGTGTGATTTGCTGCCTCTGAAAACCTGCTGGAGGGTGAGCTGTGAGTCAGTTCCCTCTCGATGGTCCATAACAACAACAACAGGACTTCCTGAAGCAGTTGGGTTTTGGGTAGCTGAGATTGCACTGTTTCTCTCTGTTCCACACAGAATTGCTTTGTGCAAGAGGCAACTTGGCAGTACCAGATGACATCAACAGTGGCTGCCAAAGTGTACAAAGTCAGCACTGCCTCATTAATCTAGTGCTGAGGTCACACGGGTGGAAGGCTTCAACAAGCAGACATTTTTTTTCTATTAAAGCTCACTCAGGATATTGTTGTTGTTGAGAACTGTTGACTCAGAACCAACCCATAGCTGACCCTCCAGCAGGTTTTCAGAGGCAGTTGATTGTACGGGAAGAGATTGCCCATCCTTTTCCTACAGAGCAGCTGGTGAATTTGAACTGCATGTCTTTGGAATTGCACTGCAGCTTCTTAACACTAAGCCACCAGAGCTCCCTATTCAAGAAGTTGTTTTTGTTAAGTGCCATTGAGTTGTAGGTGACTCATAGCGACTCTGTGGATGAAAGACCTGAACACTTCTACAATTTTCATCCTTTCTCCAGGTTCATAGGGTTTCCGGAGACAAGCTATTTTGGAGGTGGTAGCCACTCCTGCTTCCAAGCTTGTTTTAATCGGGATGCTACACCAAACACTGTCCGTCATGGGTAACCATTATCGCATTTGAAACATCAGTGTCACCATGTTCAGGTCACAGCAACCACCACTTACCTCTGTATGGCAAGTGGACAGACCAGGGCTATACGACCTAGAAGAATGTTTCACCAAAACCAGTTAAGAACAGGCCTGAGAGCCACGGATTAAAGTCAGCCACCTTTGACTTTCTGTCCACTAAGGCCAACTGATCTCTCTGTGTATGCTATTATTGTTGTTGTTGTTGTTGTTAAGTGCCATCAAGTTGTAGGCAACTCATAGTGACCCTATGAATGAAAAACCTGAACACTTGTATAATTTTCATCCTTTCTCCAGGTTCAAATTTAGGGTGCCAGTTCTGGGGAAAGTCCTCTCTCTGCTGTTTGTAGAAGAAGGTCTTTGTTTCCTTCAGTACCTGTAGGTGCACCGTTCTGTGAAGATCTCCATGCCTCTTGGCCCTCTTTATTGTTAAGAAGTCTGCACATTTCTATTTTTATGAAGAGCACATTCATTTACATTTTAATATTGGATGTAGTTTTAAATCCTTAGAGTGAAAAAACTTCCCTATGCAGACATTTAGTTTGTTAGAATTAAACTGTAATTTGTATGCATGTCTGTTTAGGGGTAGTCATGTTAACATTTGTAAAGAGAGGTTATGGTTTCAACAGTCAAGTTTGCCAAGGATCACCTATCTAGTTAAGCTTCAGCTGATCCAAACTACAGATGACGTAGCTGTTGTACCCACACGTCGATAGACAGTGTTTTCTTAACAGGGTGTGTATTTTACTGAATTACATGGCACAGAAATGCAACTTCCTTTGCAGCTCATAAAATTATCTTTAGA